AAATATAATATAAAATTTATTGTCCAATCAGAAATAAATATTTGAGTCACGTGATATAATTAGATCACGTGATAGGGGTCGCTATGGTGACAGGGTCGCCAAATATCGTTACCCTTTAATTAATTGTTAACTTTATTTCTGTCATTATATATTTCATTATTACCATTTATAAATATAATAAATTGTTACAAGAAGATGCAATAGATATTGAAGAAAATAAAAATTTAAAGACTTATTGAGTAAAATATTAGATTATATGAGTGTTTTGCAGTAAAAAGGGAAGAAATTACCAAAAAAATTTTTTTGAGTTAATGTTAAATCCAGATTTATTTTACTAAAAAAAATAATATTTAGCTTAGAAAGTAAAAAAAAACTTTTTTAATAGTTTCCTTCCTTTCTATTGTAAAGCGTCTATATAATTAATGATTAGATAATATTTGTATAATTTATAATGTAATAATAAAACATTAGACTGATATTAAAAAGATTGACATGAATTTATCATTTTGTAAAAGTTTTGAATCATGTCAAGTTAAATTTATTTTAGAAGATTTTGAAGATATTGAACCTGATTTATCACTGAATATATCATGTATTAATCCTTTATTAGTATTAATTATAAATAGTAAAAAAATTTATCTTCTAATAACATGTAAATTAACAATAAGATGAGACCTTTTATTTAATAACATATTACAAATTTTATAATGAAATATGCTAGGATAAACTGAAGGAATATACAAAACTTTTGAAAATCAATTTATTAATTATTTAATTGATTTATTATGATATCTTAATCCACATCATGCAAAATAAAAGATTATAAATGCAATTTGCCAAATATTTTTTTAAATTTATCAGAATATAAAATCAATTTTAATTATAACAAATTTTATTTTATTGGAAAACATAAAAAAGAATAATTATTTATAGAAAAGTTAGATAAATATATTAAAGAAATTGAGTCATATGCATCTCAATTTTGAGCTAGTATAAAAATAAAAAAATTCATCTCTTCAGTGCTTGATATATGTTATAATATAAGAAAGTATGTAAAGTATTTAGAAGTAGTAAATCAGAGTATTAAAGAAAATCATTTAAGTATAAATTTTATCTGCAATAAAGTTGATAATATTTTAATAAAAATATGAGAAATTGAAGAAATTTTTAATAAAAAATATAATGATATTTCTTTAAAACTTCATAATTCTGATTATTATAAATTAATTTTACTTGATATTTATCTTCTAGATAATAAGCATGAAGTTATAAATTTATTTTAGATTTGAAAGTTGATTTTGCATTTACTTTATATTAATATTATCATAAAAATTATTTAAGAACTTAAATTTTATTTAAAAATTATCAGATTTTGATAATAGAAATAAAATAAAAGAAGCTCAATTAATTTTATTAGTAAATAAAATGATGTTAATATTCTTTACAAGACAAATGAAAAAAATGTAATTGAAAAGATTAATATAAGAAAGTTTTAATTAATTTAATTATAATGCATCTAACAGATTATCTTTCTTTTTATAATACAGTTAAATTGTAAAATTAACACATTAATTTAGAATAGATTATCTGAAAATTCATCATTATCATTAAATAAATTAACAAAAAAAATGCAAAATCAGATTTAAACTGTATTAGATTTAAAAATTCAGAAATTATTTTAGATTTGAGAGTAAATAGATTTAAAGGTACAAAATTTAATATTTCTTGAAATGAAAGATTATTTTAATGAAATAATATAATAATAATTATATTTCAATTAAAGATGGCACTGCAACTAATTGCAATTATGTGATACTTATTTGTCACCGGTTGCAACTAGTTGCAACTCAATTTTTATTAATATTGCAACTAGTTGCAACCCTGTAATGCTTATTTGTCACCAGTTGCAACCAGTTGCAGCGCCATCTTTAATTTCAATTATTTATAATTGATATTTTTAATATTAATTTATTAATTTTAAATATCAGGTTATTTTAACTGTATATGATAGATGGGCTAGTTATATTTTATATTTACCTATTGTAATATTTATCTCTGACCTTAAAAAATTAATTATATAAAGATTAGAATTAAAATTTGATATTTTTTTAAATTCAGCTTAAAAATTCTATCACATAAACTGCTTCATAATATACTGAAAAATTTGATATAAAATATAAAGTTCAAATATAATAATTATCAAAATTTTATCCAGATGCACATTATTATGCAGTACTTTTCTGTATATGAGATTATTTTTGATAAAATTTCAAAAATATATTTCATTTATTTATGCAGATAATAAATACAAAATAGCTATTAGGAAAGGAATTACTTTCAATTAGAATTTGTAATAAAAAATCACTTGTATTATTAAATGTAGATTTAATATTATCAGATCATAATTATACAAAATTATCATTAACGCTATCAGTTATGTTACTTATAGATATACTAAAAAGTATTAATAAATCTTTTTATTATAGATAAGTTTATATATCATATAAGGATACAACTTTTTAACCAAGTACAGAAATACGACATGCTACTGAAATTTATAATACTATATCAAAAAAATATATATGAAATGCTTTTATTGTATATAGATAGTGATCCTGATCATAAAGTAATATTTAGATTTATACAAATTTTATTGATTTGTTTATTTTTTTGTGGTAATTTTAATTTCTTAGCTAGTATTGGAACTGTATTATATCATAGCTAAATAAATTCTGCCAAGCATATAATATCAATATTAATTTAATATTACAAGGATTATTATTAGAATGTAATAAAATAGATGATATTTTAAAAGATATATTTAAAAGTAAAAATATATTAGAAAAGATTTATTTGGTAGCTAAAAAAAATAAACAGTTAGTAATTTAATTACAAGAATCTATTAAAGAAATATAATCTTTATTAAAAGAAAGAACTACATAGCTATTACTTAAAAAAAACTTTTAGCATTATAAATCCGTTTATAAAATGCAAATTAATAAATTATTTGAAATAAAAATTATTTTAAGAATATTATTTATTTTATATAATAATTCCTAATTTTATTTTATTTTTAATACATAGAAAATTTATAAAATTGATAAAAGTTTAGAATTATATAAAATATTATTAAATGCATTAAATAAGCATGAAATTCTTTAAAAATTTATTAAAATCTATTATTATATTCACAAATATAATTTTTAAGTAGTACAAATTTATGAAATATATTATTATTTTTCAGTTATTTTAATTTTAATTTTTTTGATTATTTTAAATTAAAAAATATGGCAAATCCAAATGTAATTTTTGTTTGCTAATATAATTACCAAAAGAAATCTTTAATGAATTGCATTTTATTTTAGATTCAATAATTAGTATTGGTATAAGTTTTATATTTTTGAAAAATTGATTTATTTTTAAATTATAAACTAAAATGTTGAATATTTTAGATTTATAATATTATAAAAATTTTAATGATTTATATGAAATTAAAACTAATGAATATTTATCAAGTTTATCTAATTTTTCAAAAAAAACTATTTTAACTAATATTATTAATAATAATCATATTTGTAATTTTATTTTTTGTACATACTGTAATAAGCTAAGATGTATATTTAGCAAAAATGTTCTTAAAGATAACGAAAAATTACAACTTAAAAATTTAATTGAATACATAGTTTATTATTATAGATCACTTATTGTTTATGAAAGTTATTTATTATTTAATATCATTTTTATTAGACAAAAAATTAATTGCAAAATATCAGTAGAATTAATATATTATTCATGTAAATGTTTAAAAACTAAAATTATTTGTTATTATTGTAATGAAAAAGATGAATTGTTAGAATTAAATGAAAATTTGATAAAAATTATTAAACAATATATTCTTTTATAAAGTTTGTAAAATAAAAGGTTATATTTGACCAACAAGAGGAAAAATTAATATAAGAGAAAAAGAATAAATAAATAAAAAAATTAATTTCTTTTATGTAAAAATATATATGTTTATTTTATGAGATTGTTTAAATTATACTTTATTCCCTTTAATTATTTAAGAAAAAAGGATGTTAAACTAATTATTAATTTGAAACAACCTTATTTATGTAAATAAAATTTAAATCTGAAATATTAAATTCAATCTAAAATTTTAAATATTATGTAATTCAATCACAATATTATATTATTAACCGCTAATTATTTTTATCCATGATGATAAATAACAAACTTGTTTAATTTATATTTTATTTAATATTTTAATTTATATAATTTATATTTATATAATAAAAAAATCAAATCAATATAAATATAAATAAAATAAAAAATATATAATGATTTTATTTTTAATTATTTAAAATTAAATTTTACAATTATTTTTTTAAAATTATAAAATTAAAAAAAAAAAAGATATTTTTAAATATAAATAATTTTTATTTTATTATGTAATCTTTATTTTTAATTTTTTAATATAATAAAGATAGATTAGGAATAAATATATAAAGATATCAAAAACATCTAATAAAAATGGTTTATAATATACTTACATTAGTAACAATACCAGCAGCAACTGTTTCTCCACCTTTTCTTAACATAATTCTTCCTAATTCTTTATTTTCCTTAAAAGTTTCTAGAGGAATTGGTCTATTAGAAAGTTCAATTTCAACAATCGCATTTGATGATTTAACAAGACATCTATTTAATTATTAAAAATAATTTATTATGTGTTAATCTTAAAACATAATAAACATAATAACGAAATATATAAATTATTACCTAGGGTTTTTCTTTAAAATTGCCCCCGTACTTTTATCCAAGATCGATATCAATTTTGTGATAATAGCTGGCTCATTAAGACTTTGTCTATGAAGTATAACCTAAATATAATAAATATACAAAATACCAATTAAATGAAGGAATAAAAATAATTTATAAAATATTGGAATTTGAAACTTACAGGAAATCCTCTTGTGATTGGAACTTTAATAATTTCAAATACAACGATCTGTGCCAAAAAATGTGATGTCACAGGAACCGGATGTGAAATTGAACATAGAATAGACCCAATCCTACATAAAAAATAAATAAATGAATATTATTTAATATAAACATATTATTAATGGAATATCTTACTTGAGTTGAATAATGTCCAATTCAGCTAATGTCATTAAAACAGAATCCCCTGCTACAGCCCATTTTGAAGACGAATTATTTACTTCCAAACCTAAAAAAAAAGGTCATGATTGAAAATATAAAATCACTATAAAATACAAATAATTATATATATAATCCTACCTTTTACAACTCCATGTTCTCCACCAGGGATTACCGTGACACCTTCGCCAATCTGAATATTTCCCGCCTCTATTCTCCCAGCAACAGTAACACCGCCCATGCTCCCTATTCCTCCTTTGAAAAAATCCGAAACAGAAAGTCGGAATGGCTTTTCTAAAAGCCGTATAGGAGGTTCGAATTGATCTATAGACATATTGTGATATAATTAGTTAATAGTTTAAAGAATAATCGTTTAATTTGTAAGCTTACGAACCTATTTGTTCAACTAATGTTGGCCCAGAATACCATTCCAATACGTTTTCAGACCTCTTTAACAGATTTTCCCCAGTCAATCCACTACAAGGGACATATATTACTTTGTCCTTTTTAAATCCAGCTTGAGTCAAAAATGGATTTAATTTGGCCATGATTTCCTTATATCTATCTTGTGACCAATTTACCTGTAAGACGATAAGAAATTAAGACAAATCTTTTTATATATGTACGCCTTTTTCAAAAAAATTGATAATGTGCTTACAACATCTAATTTATTTATCGCAACGATTAATTGTTGAACGCCCAAACTTCTAACAAGCAAAGCGTGTTCTTTTGTTTGACCATTTGCATCGAATCCAGCTTCAAATTCACCGGTGGTGGCATCAACCACAAGAATAGCAACATCTGCCTAATATAAAATGTTAATTGCTTTTCTTCAAAAAAAAAACGTACATTTTTTTAATTTCATACCTGAGCTGCACCCGAAATCATGTTAGGAATAAAATCCCGATGTCCGGGAGCATCTAACAATGTAAATCGCCTATGCTCGGTTTCAAATTTTGTGATTGCAATATCCATAGTAATACCTCTATATCATTGAGAGTAATTTTAATACACTTATATAACATATTTTAAATTTATATAAGCTATCATACCTTGATCTTTCTTCACCTGTTTCATCAAGAACCCATGCGTATGCAAAAGAAGACTTTCCAATTTTTGAAGAATCCCTTTCATACTTTCTCATGGTCTTTTCATTGACTTCGCCAAGTAAATACAATAAATGACCCATTAGTGTACTTTTTCCAGCATCAACATGACCTTTATTTATTTTATTATTTATTTAATTTGATATGTAACAAATGGAAATCTTAAATATCTTATATTGAAAATATACTTACCAATAATCACTAAATTTAACGAAACCTTATCAGAACTCCGTTTCTTATACTCTTCAATAACATCAATACGTTTATTCTTAGGTATTGTTTTTATTGATGATTTTGATGTAATTGATGATGTCGTTCTTGTAGATAATGATTCTTGACTTTCAAGAGACTTAAAAGATGTTGCTGTCTTAGGATAGTTAGCTGATTTATCTTCTAAACCAAGATTGAGTGCATCCATATCAAATCTTAGTTGCTCATCATCTTCATAGTCATCTAAATCTTCGATAATATCATTATCTTGTAGTTCCAACGTCAAAAAATCATTTTGTTTGTCGCCTATCAAAACAGAAATAAAAAAAAATATCTTATAAACAATTATTCAAAATATTCGGCGGAATTATTAAAATGTGATGCTGGTATACCAGTATCCTTTTGACTCTGTGTCTTCAAAACAATATCATCAGGGCCATTAATAGCATTGTTTAAATTCGTTGAGTGAGATGATTTTGGTGCATTCGATGGTGTATTCTGTTTTTTCTGTGTCTTCTGTGTTGACGACGATTCTTGTTTTGAAGTATATTTAACAGAAGTTGCTGACATCGTTGTAACCTTTCTGTCCTTAACTATCATGTCCTTAACTATCAAAAGATAAGCTTACTTAAAAACAAGGATTCGAATAGAAATATCTGACATCCGACCAGAAATTAAAATACCTTTTGGTACTCCAGTTCCTCTATGGCTCTGTGCTTTTTTGACAATATCATCAGGACTTGGATCATCAAAAGAAAACCCATTATTATTTAAACCCGCTGTGTAAAGTTCAAAAGTAATTAAATCATTAGAAAACGAAATAGTATCTTGAAGTGGTGCGAATATGGAAGTAGCGAAAATGGATGGCGGCGCGACAAGAGGGTTTGATACTGATTGAATATTTGAATATGAATGTACGAATTCCTTATTCTGTGTTAAATCATTTGTTATAAGTTGAGGCTCTTGTCTCACCATTTCGCTACTATTTGTATCAGATGTTAAGGGTTTTATAGGGGTCGTTGTTTCCTGCAAAGGAACTTTATTATTTAATTTATTTGTTAAAGTTGTTGAAACCGATGAAGTCTGTTGCTTTGAATTTATTATGACTGAAGATTGAGACGTAGTACGATTTAATGCAAGACCAGTAAAAGAAACACGTCCAGAAGAATGTGAAGTCGAGTTTTTAACCATAGAAGACAAGGACGGAGCTTGACTGTTTATCAAGCTAGAAGAGGTTTGAGATCTTGTAACATTCTCTGAACCTAATTTTGATGTATTCGTAGCCAAACTGGATAATGTTGGTCTCGTCGATTGTTTTACACTCAAATGAGCCAGGGATGACAATGATGGTCCTGAAGAACCTATCCCGATGTTTGAAAGAGAGAACTGTCTTATGTTGGATGTATCATTAATTCCAACAGAGGGACGATTTTGTTCAATTGTTGCTCTATCTGAAGCCATCTTTGATAAAGACTTAGTATTCGTCTTAGTGGAACCCAACTGACTACGCAAACTAGAGAGTCTCGATTGAGTTGTTTCAGAGTCCATTCCACCTAGTAACCCGCCATGAAGTGAATGCTTCCGTAATTCACAAATCGAACTTTCTGTAATCTTTAAATTACTTTGAGCGAGACTACACCATTTTACATTGTGCCCTGACCAAATGTCATTAAAGGATACACAATTTGTTAAAGCAGTTCTTTTCCTTATTCCAAGTGAATAATGGTGTTCAAGGTTTTGCTGATTTGCATAAAAGTTTAAAGGGCTCAGATATCGATTTCCATTAATAAGATGATCCATATTAGATAATAGATCTGTTGATTTTGAGAATATTAAGCCGAGAAGGTTCTCGGTTAAATTGATTGACTAAAGAAATTATTTACTATAATCGCTTTCAGAAATTCTTTTTTTTTCCTTTATATTGTTTGTCAATTTCAATGACAGGAAATATATTTCATTATCAAATCTAATAGTTGAACCGCCATCACTTCAAAAATAAACCAAAATTAAAAAATTCACCTTTCTTTGTGAGTTTAGATTTATTTGAATCTGATTTGTTTTGTGAAATTGTTTTCTTTTTCTTAGATTTATGAAGTTCATCTATAAAACAAATAAATTAATTATAGATTTCTCAAAATTTTAAATGAGTTATTAGATCAATAGTTAAATACCCAATAAGTATGTTATTGTATCCTTTGTATCGTAATAGTAATACCATAAAGCATCTTCAATATCTTTATCAGAGATTTCATCTACTTGTCCAATAACATCTCTAACTATTTTCTTCCCATTATCCATTTTGGCTATGATTTTTTTATAGTACTGATAAACACCTCTCATATCTCATATGAGTTAAAAATTAACAATTTACTAGATGTAAATTAAGTGTCATACCTTTATCTCCTTGGGACAATTCACTATTATCTTAAATTTTTAAATCGAAAAGGAATTTAATTAATTTAATAGATCAAATACAGCCAAGCATAAATTTATTAAATACCTTCATAATCAAAATATTCATCGTCGTGATAATACTCGGATTCCGCAAGGACAGCTGAAAATAGAATTGATCAATTTATGTTAAAAGAATTTCATAATAAAACAATTTACCTTCGGCAGTTAAGTTTCGAATCGCGCGATGTCGAGACATTGTGAATAGAGAAATAAAAAAAGCAAGTGATTTATTTAAATAACAAACTTATTAATCATGTGATTAAATGACTAATGGTAATCGCGAGAAAAACGTCATTTTATTTAACAATTCTTTCGTAATAATAAATAAACATGGCAATTTTTTCGACGATCTGTTAAAGATTCAAATTATATTTTGTTAAAAAAATTAATGAATTTCGATATTAGTACGTGATCTATTATAAAATGCTGTAGTTTTTTAATGATAATTTAAAGTTGAGGGTGTATATGAGTGTCATTTTATTTTAATAATTTTATTTTATTTATTTATTCTTTTTAATTTTTTTTTTTTTTTACGATGTGGAAAATACAAATTTAAAAAAAACAAGCTATTCTGAGTACTTGTAGTTATATTTCAAACCCATTTGAATCGACCTATCATCGTCTTTTCCCTCTTATTCTTTTTAATAATCAAATATTCTCTTTTATCTATAATACAGCCTGTGTAATAATATTCTCTATATTATTGTATGTATTTGTATTTATTTTTATTTTACTATACAAATTTTCAATAAATTAATTATTAAATTTACAAGGTATAATTTTAATGCTTAGACTATTAAATGTTTATTATCTTTTCAATAAAAATAATCAAATAAAAATAATAATAGTACTTTATTATAATTTTTCTTTTCCATTTTAATGCAAATATTCAAAGGTAAAATATTATTTTATATATTCTTTAAATAATTCATAATGAAAAAAAAACATAAATGTCAAGTGTAGCAGGAATTAATGATGCTAGATGAAACTAAAATATTTAGTCATATGATGAAACTGAAACTTTTTAGTCTTTAATAATTAAAATGCCAAAATGTCAAAACTTTATTTCTATAGATTTTTCATAGATATTCTTAGATCTTTCATAAATTTAACTTAATAGTTTTTAATAATATTTTATTTTACTATAAATTCTAGAAATTTATAATTTTTATAAATTATTATATTTTGTTTACTACAATCACACCTCGATATAACGAAGTTGCTGATCCAGCCGATCAGGACTTCGTTATAAGAATCTTCGTTAATGCTATAACAAATTATGCGGTATGTATAATGAATAATTCGTTATAGCGTTAACGAATTATTCGTTATAGTAGATGATT